TAATGCTACGAGACGACGCGCTCTGCGCCATCTGCATTGTACTACATTAACGCGCAGCTGTTTGCGATATCGCAGGCGTCACTGACCACATGGAATGATCTGTCTTGAGCTGTAATCATTAAGATGAGCGATTGCATCAAGCTCTTCTTGATAACGTCTATGGAACACTGATAATAAGCGTCCCATAACCACTCTTATTCTTTCTCAAAATACGAGAGAGGTGAACGGTCATCTCGGCGTAGTTGCGCGAGTACTTGTATTAGTATCCGCTTGACCAAGGAACTTCCTAAGTCCATTAATGTAGAGTGGCACAGGCCAGTCAGTAATCGCCGTGATCTTCTCTGGATCACGGTATACGCCGTGTTTACTCACGATACACCCAAGATATGGTATTTTGCTAGCAGCGAATGCATTCTTCTTGAGGTTGGCATACAAGTTATGATTTCTCACAAGTGTAAGAATCTAACGACCGTGTTTTCTATGAACCTTTACGTCCGTATTGTTACCCATATCCTAGCTATGGACGAATGCGTCGTCGAAGTAACTCGGTGCGAAGTATCGAACCGGTCTCAACAAATTGGTTACACATCTGTTGAGAGTTGCAGGGGTGTTGTTTAGCCCTTGTGGCATCATTAGACACTCCCGCAACATAACACTAGGGGTGATCACTGCTGTGTTCAAGATGTCCCGTTCACGCATGAGGATCTGATAGAAGCCATACATCAGATCCATGGACGAGAAGATGGTACTTTTTGATGTACTATCTATGATAAAGTCCTTCCTCGGTATCGTCGTCTGAGCCGATAACATTGCAGCATTAAGCTTGTTGAAGCGTGTACTATTCGCCATACTACTGTGGCCTGCTCACACAGAAAGTCGGAGATCTGTGAGGGGAAGTTGACGCCCAACACATGACCCGCAGCGAAGCGATTGGCAAAGAGCATGTCGATCGCAATTACTTGTTAACGAGGCAGTGTCCACTGCTTCATGAAACAGCACTTCGACCCCGGTTTGAGCTCGATTTCATGTCGAGTGTCTTTATCCTCAGGCAATACGCGTGGCGTGGATTCAATGAACACGTCCTTGAATTCGATCAAACTCTTAAATAAAGGATTGCCTGAAGTGAATTTCGACATTGAGACGGGTATCGCTTAATCCAAGTCTTCTCATCGAGGACTTTTTCATCCATCGATGAGCTGCTGAGAACCAGTTTGTTCTCTCAAAATATCACTACTGATGGAATTTCAGTCATGTACTCGTCCTCCGTGAAGAGTACACAGATCTGTTTGAACTTGTCACTAGGCAGATCTCGCAAGAACCATTTCGGTTCTAGCGTTGGGTTTTGTTGATCTACAAAGTCAACTTTGGAGGCGCGATCAGATCAAGTGTATAAGTCCCTACACTTGACCCGTCATTAACCAAGACATTCAGTGTCTCGATTCCTTCCTGGGAACCCTTTTCCACAGGCTGCCGGGGACTTATTCGCTCAGGCTATTGAAGTATCGTTACCTCAGCAATAAATGAGGTGTTTCTTTCTCAAGCACGTGGTGACTTATTCCCTTGACTTCTTCTAGATGTGGTTGCGCTACCACAGCTAGGTCTCCTACAATCGAATCTACAGCCTATATCTAGGATAATCGTGATGCCTTTTGTGGGAAACCAAATCATTATTACTTGGATGTCGCCCGCTAAGCGTACACCCATGTCCCAATCCACTCGACTTGTTTGAGCGATGGACCTTCGGCTCTGCCTGTGCATCCTCACACATGCCGGCAGCTTCCTCCAAAGTGTGATTGATTGTTACAATGTGATCGTGTGCAGTCGTACTAACGACCGTACCACAAGTGAGTCCATCGCACTTACTCGAAGTACATCTACACGCTTGTAGACGCTTCAAGACAGCTATTATATAGCCATCTGATTAACAAGAGAAAGGCACCTTCACGGTTTGATGCTGCAAGATGGTCCTTGGCTCGTACCTTCTGATCCCCAGGATGACATCATTTTTATCATCCAAATCAAGTACGATGAGGTCATCATTGTACTGCAAATCTTTGAACGTGTCGTGAAATTCCGCTACACATATCATCACTGCTATCGGTGCGCCTGTTGCGAGGCGCACCGTCAGTCTCGTAGGAGGTGTAACGAGCTCGACGAACTTGAGCCTAGGATCCTCCAGCGACTGGCGACGAATAAAATTGTTCGACGCCCCACAGTCAAATAATGCATGAAGTGACAAACCCTTTCGTCAAGTCGAAATTCAAGGTGATGAGGAATACCTCGTAACAAGTGCTGATACATACAAGGGTTGTGAGCATAGAGAAACTATGACTAATAGGTTTGCAAATTCTATTGAGGTTGCTGGATCAGTTGGGCGCTCCGCCCCTACTGACCCGACCATTTTTACGGTCCGCCACGCTGTTGTGACCTCGCAACAGCGTCGGACCCGATTCTGTTGCCTTTCTTGGCAGGCGGTCGATAACTTCGCTCCGCGTTTCGGGAAGCTGGGCATGAAGAACTACACTCGTAGGCGTAGTTTCCGAACTTCTGACAGCGATTGCACTTTTGCGATCACTTACTGTCCAAAGGGCGAGGTATCTCGCTCTCAACTGCAGAGGTCCATTGGTTCTGGATCTCCAGCCTCTAATCGTCGTGAAGGGCGATAAGAGATCTAGCTAGCTTGAGCCTGTCTCACACTTAAGTCTTCTTGCACCGCAATTGTAATCTCTTCCTCAAGCGACTCAACTCGATGCGTAACAGGTGGTTTCTCACGGGACCATCTGGAAGGCCCTGCAAGAATATCTTGTTAACACGAATCCATTTACAGGTTTCGCCACCATGCAACTTGCAAGCTAGCGAATGTGCTGAGCGTAAGCGTGAATGCCACTCTTGCCTTGTTCTATCTTCAGGAGACATGAAATAGTCCTGAGTACAGCTCTTGGCGGCTCCAACGTTTAGCTGAGCAGAGTCTTGAAGACCGCCAATGATTTAAACACTTCTAATTTGTGTAATAGAAAATCCAGTGTCCAAGTTCTAGCACGCCATGACAAATTCAATATGGTAAATGCAACTTGCATTTCCTCATCGTCGATGTGGCAAACCTATGTGGCATCGTCCACTTCAAGAAACTATTTCAACAGGGATGCTTTCTCGACTCCCCGGTACTTATCTTTTTTTTCATCAGAAGGGAAATAACTCTAAATAACATTGGATACTTCTTACGTGAGAGTCTCGCGTCGACGCTGCAGAAGCAGACAAAGACTGTCGCTGTCTCAGAAGCTCAGTCTGCTGAGGACCTTGCTGATACAGCTGGGTCACTTCAGCTCGCGACGCGTCAAGTTCTCATTGCAAGAACTTGGCGACTACGGAATGCTACTGGTCCCTATCCTTTGAGGACGGCAGAGACTAGACAGCTTCTTCGCCAACAGTCGAGCTCGTTTGTTCAAACGCACTTTATTCGACATCACTCAATTAAAAGTAACTTTCATGGATGCCGTGAAAGGTGTCGTCGCCTTTGTCGTCCAACATGGTCATGCTGAACGGGTTTTGTGGTCCTTGGACGGAATACAAAGTATCACCATGTGCAACGGGTCACCGGAGCAACACACTGAACCACCGGTGTGAAGCTACTGTCACCGAAAGCAGCGTGAGCGATGCCCCGCTACCCTTGTGAACTCTACAGAGATAGGGAAAGCAACTAGGAACTGACTAGTTGCTACTAAAAACAAAACTTTGTTAAATGTAAAAGTCCTAATCATTGACGTATGTTTTGGTCCTAAGTTGATTCTACGTTTAACTACAAAAGCGTACCCTAATGTCTTGCTCACCACTCTTTGCGCGCGTCCATCGTTGATTAGACCGCTAGAGCTGGCTGATTAGATGACCCGTATCAGCCAATCGGTGAGTGTTTTTGAATATTGCCTTTTATGGTAATATTCACGAACATTATCAACCTTTATGATGATGTTCAAAGTAACAAGTATCAAGGGTTAATCACATGTAACAGGCTCACCCCGTTTGCAGGTGACGACGACGCATAACATACTCAATGCGTCTGTCGTGGATTGATTGCATCATTTCTGAGACGTCATCGAGGTCTTCAATATTTCTACGACGTCATCGCGATCTGACTTCCGAATACTGGTACTATTTATGTACTATGATGTATCTCAATGAAAACCTCTTTAATCTGGTTGTTGTGACGAAGACGTGAAAGCTCCATCAGGACTGCGGGCTTGAGACTAGCTCCAGATTGTACACAGCATTCTACCACATCTCGTAAGGGTCCATACCATCTGTGTGTGTCTATTCATGGCACAGGACTCGCACAAACGTCGCATCGCCCTCCTTGCAATTCTCTACGTAATCTTCCTCGACTTCTCATCAGAGAAACGTCAGAGGCGATGCATGCTCGCACACGCGTCAGTACGCTCAAACCACATCCCAATATGTCCATCTAGATGATACGCTAGCAGCAAACGACATACACACGCTTACTGCATTGTGAAACAGGTTACAGCGCCACTGTCTTTCGATTTGCAACAGCCCAAGATTCGATCGAATAGCTCCTATAATCGCACCTGACTAATCCTAGCCAGACCTGCTGCTAAAGGAACCAAGCGAGCGATCGAAAGAAGAAGAAGAACGCACACTGTTCCGACTTCCAGCCCCACCCACCTCCATCTCGTTCTACAAATCAAGCGACACTCTGGCTTTCCCAATCATCTCCTCCCATCCATCACCGGTCGGTCGTGCTGTCGTCAGGCGCTGGACAATGTGCGGATCGAAACTGCGACATGGTCGTCGGTTTCGTCTGCGTACCAGGTCCCACTACTCAATCAATCGATCCGTCGGTCGATCGTACCACGTGCATTACGACCAATCACCGCGCTGCACGAAACAGCTTGAAGCCATCGACGTCGACCGCTCTCTCTCCTCGCGTCACTTGCCATTCTCTCTCTCGGTGCCAGCAGCTCCGTTAGACACAAATAACCGCCAGCATGAGCTCCAGCTGCACCCTCGTCGCAGACAGCACGGACGACGCCGTGCAGATGCTTTTAGGTCTCATCGCGTTGTCGTCGCTGTACGCCAAATGGCGGGTCGAGTGGCCACGGAGATCGGCCAAGGTCTGGTTCATGGACGCACTGAAGCAAGGCTCGTCTGCGGCCATGATTCACGTGATGAACATTGTGCTCGCCATTAGTCTTGTGGTTTCTTCCGATACACCGAGTGATCAGGACCAGGTAGGTGCTGATTGGTCGAAACTAAGAGCGGAAGTTGATGTCGCAACGCTCATTGGCTGATTCGGACTCTGGTGTTGTGTCTTTGTGCAGTGTGCGTTTTACTTTATGAACGTTGTGATCGACACGACTTTGGGCGTGTATATTGCCTATTTATTACTACAGCTATCTACAATCGTAGCGGTAAGATATCGAGTAGTGATGTGGTCTTTTTTACTGCTGCAATTGTTTGAAAGTTGATGCTCATGTGGCTGCTTGAACTTGTAGAATCGACAGCAGTGGAGGAGTCTGCAGTGTCATGGATACTATGGCGATCCGCCGGCGTGGAAAGTCTGGTGGATACAGTTGCTGCAATGGTGCACGATTCTAGCCGTTATGAAGGTCTTCGTCGGCGGGGTGATTTACGCTTTCTCGACACCGCTGGGCTGGATGGGATCGCTGCTGTTTTACCCCGTGCACAACCATCCGAAGATTGAGCTACTTATCGTCATGATTGGCTGTCCACTGGTCATGAACATGGTGCAGTTTTGGGTCCAAGATAGCTTTCTCATGAACCATGCTCAACACGACAATGAAGAGCTGCCACTTCTGCAGACATCCGTGGCCGGCGCTGCCTTACTGCAAAAGCCGCGCAGCGTGTCGAACGTCTCCAATGCCGCTGACGTGTACGATATGCTTTAGTCTTGCTATGTTTGACGTGCTGTGTAGACGGTGCGCTTTTATAAAGATATTAACGGCTTTTTCCATTGTTTTGCGTAGGCGAACGCATCCCCGGGACGTCATTGTGCGGACTGGATAAGCGGGTGGTCTTGTCATTCACAGCCCATATTTTCTTGCACTAAATAATGCATTAATAACAAAGTCTTGCTATTTCGGGCCATCCTAGCTGACTGGGGAGACCCAAAGCATGTTGAACATGTTGATTCAGGTCGTTCGATCGGACAGGCGGTGCCTTTGTTGAGCACATCTCGTTTACTCCACGATGTAGTTGTGCAGCTGTTGTTCAAGATCAAACCTACTCCAGGTATTGATTGCAAATTAGATAATCTAGTTGGCAGCACGGCCAGGAAATAGATCTCAAGTCATTTCCTTGTTGAACGCTTGGCATTGACGACACAAGTAAGGTGCCAACTCATCGTCCCAATAGATTCTGAACATGTGCAGCGATCGCCTTGTGAGTTTTTCAGTTGCACCATTTCATACTCGCGTTGTCACGAGACTAGAACCAGAAAAGCTTGTGTGCATCACAGTGTCCAGCAACTTGTATGGTGCTTCGCAGCACTCACAATAATTATAAGGCCGTCGTATGCTCCGAGCACTGACTCAAATCATTGGCCACCTGCAATTGGTGTCGATCCGCCTCACATTCTTAACGAATCGGCTTCATGGGTATTATCATCCCGGACACACGTCACTGGCTCGCAAGCCGTTCTTGCTCGATCTGAACAAACAGTATCGGAGTTACAGTCATTGATGGTGCTTTAAACGTGGAGAAAGGCACAACTGCACGAGCAATTCTGTTGCAACTAAACCGACCATCCGACGTATTTTTTACAGGACTTGACGCCAATAAATACTCTGCGACCTCTTAAGCAGTATCCGTCACGCTTGAGACAGAGGCATCATCGCAACGAAAACGTGCACTTACAAATGCCGACCAGAAGCTCTGATTAGAAAACTGGTAACGAAACCTAGTTACCCAGTTGCTCGATTTAATCCAAATGTGAGAATGAAAAAAGTCCCAAGTGATCGTCCATACCAAAAGTCCTCCTGAACCACGCGACTTAGAAACGACCCCGCATCGCGTGTGCGTTAGAAAAACCCACCCACCCACACCCACCCACACCCACACCCACGCCCACACTCGACTCACGAGACAACAAAACACAGGAACCCCGTCAAACTTGATGCCTTTTCACAACAAGTGGATCCAGCCAGTCGCCACAATTCAATTGTGCAGCTCGTCCGTAATGGTCCGTGAAAGGAGAGGAGGACGCAATAGCAACGGGGAAGGCGCCCGCTCCACGCCGTACGAAGGAGCGCGTCATCGCCGTCATGGCGAAGAGTCTAGGGGGTCCCGGGGCAAGCGAGGGGGCGGTCGAGGAGGGGGTCGTCGACGAAGTGACAAGCCCAAGTCCAAGACCGTGACGGAGCTGGACGCGGAGATGGACAGGTACTGGGGCAAGTCGGAGGAGCACGCGAGCAAGAAACTCGATAGTGACATGGACGAGTATTGGAAGACGAAGGGGGAGAGCGGTGAGTGATGGGAAAAATGGCAAGAAGGGGATGGAGGGTGGGGGGGGGGTGATGGTGCTGACAAGTGTGTCGCGTTGTGTTGGTTGTTATAGTGAAGGAGAAGGAGAAGGAGGAGGAGAAGGAAGAAGGAGGGGACAAGGAGGATAGAAAAGAGGAGGAGGTGGGTGTTGCTGCTGCTGCTGCTGGTGGAGAGAAGGGGGACGTGACGATGCAGAAGGTTGATGGTGCTGCTGCACCTGTTGCGGAGGTTTCTACCGAGGAGACATAGGGACTGCTGCTTTGTGGGAGAGTGCGTGCTAGTTGGTTCTCTCTCTTTTCCACGTTGGAAGTGGTTGCTGTTGTGGTTGAGAGAGAGCAGAGGAACAAATTGACTGCTGGTGGGAGATCGGCAAAGTGTTGATGGGATGATACACTGGACACAAATGTGGAAGCCGCCGTTCAGCCTGTCTTTCATTCTTTCGATAATGCTTTATTCGTAGTGGTTTTCTTCCGTCTCAGCCAAAGACTTCCTGGAGCTCGCCCATGGCAGTAAGCACTAACCAGAGTATACCCACGATCACGGAAAGTAAAGACGAGAAGATCGATATGCGGAATGCCAGGATCTCGGAGCGGTCGCCTAGTCGACCTGTAGCTTCACCGTACCCAGCAGCAAAGACCCCCATTGTGACAATGGATGTCAAGCAGAAGGAACCGAGATAGATGAACGACTTGACCGTATCGTGGAGCCCTACTGCAGGCAAAACACCGAGGATCCCACCTGGTCCCGCGATTCCATGCACGATTCCTACGAGCAACGCAGTGAACTGGAACAAGCACACACACCACAACTAAACAGGTTACCAAATGCATACCTCTTGTGCCTGTTAAATCCGAGGTGTGCAACCGGTGACGATAGCATTGCCGGGCAGTGATCAATGAGCTGGCTTTCCTACCTTCTGCGTGCGTGCGTTCCGAAAGTCGATCGTCGGAAACCTGACGCCGTCACACATGGGATCAGTAGCAAACTCAGCGTCGTCAATCCGACATCCTGCTTCACCAGTCGATTCGCTGCGATCCGGCAGGAGCTCTTCTAGCGCTACCATGCTCTCGCATGGACTAGTAGCAGTGGATATGGTCTCTTCACTGTCTGAGAGTCGTCGTGGCGGTTCTGCTTCCGCATCAGCAACAGATGACTCCACGCCAGCGGGGATGCCACCCAGCTCTCGAATCCTCAAAGTCTCCAACCTTTTCCATTGCAGTGATGCCTCCTCATCAAGTCCGTTCGACACCACCTTCCCGTCAATTAATTCCGCCCCTTCTTCGTCTAGCAATGTACGACCAGGACTTCCACCCTCCGTCTCCATCTCCGAACCTTCTCGAGCTACTTCTTCGTCCATCCCCTATTGCACACAATTCTCCATCTTTCTCTGCTCCGAGATATCCTGATACCTCCTGGATATCCCTCGTCTCTTGCTCTGTCTCGACTTCTTCACCCCTTCGAGCACTCCATAGAGTCCCAATCCAATCATAAAGACACCCGCAATAACGTCTGTCACGACATTAAGCACGGAAAAGTCGAGTTTCCCGTCCAGTGCAATAAAGACAATGGCCATGACGATAAGGCCGATACTATGACCGCAGCCCCATCTGATTCCGAGCGAAAAGGAGCGCCACGAGGTCCCTGCAGAGAGCGTCGCTAAGGCGCTGAGATGGTCAGGACCCGTCAGGACGTGGACGAGGCCAAAGAGCGTGCCTGTCAGTATCAACTGGAGTAGAGACGCCTGTTTGAAGCCACTTGTCTCCTCGGTAGCGCCCTCTACAATCTCCTCATGCAGCCAGCGATGAGACGCGGCGACGTTCATCATGACGTTTACTTTGCAGGTTAACGGACTGGCTTAAGACTGAGTGTTCAGGATAAGAACGAGTCCGGTTTGCACCGTTGACCCGGCTATGCGGGATATCAACGTTTCGATGACTTTTTGACGGATGAAACGGCACCTGCTCGCTCGAAGAAAAGTCGCATCTGCTTGTCACTTTTTGTCTCATGAGTCAAAGGGTTCACTTTGGCACAACGCGTTGCGTGGAAAAGGCAGGACAATTCCTGTGAAAAGACCTTTTCGTGTCGAAACGAGTGGATGATGCAGACGTGCAGAGCTACGGGTCGAGCTGACTCGTCCACTTTGTGTAGTCAAGCAACTGCGTTTGGTATTCCAGCTGATTTTTGGACTCTTGTGCGACGCGGCATACGTCTAAGCAACGTGAACTGCAGCAACCGCGGAAGGTGAATGTGTACGAGTTGGGAGGTTTGCGTAATCTGCCGCACATCGGACGCCATTAGTAAGCGCCCAGCACTTGACTGTAATGTGAGATACTCCCAGTACACAAAGTACACCCCTGCGACGTAATGTAGGTTCATGTGAAAAGAATTGGATCTACAGCAGACACGAAAAAAAGCGAGACGAGGCCCCGTAATAAAAAGAGAAAACAGGCGCACTCACTCCTGCTTCTTCTCCTCCTCCTCAACGTGACGCTGCTCGTCACATCTCACTCGTCGCGCTGTTCACGACGCTGTCAATCAAACTCCTAATCGACTCGATGCTCTCGGCACTTCCGTCGACTCGAGACAAGATTTCAATGGCAGACGCCCACTCTTTCACGACCTTGGCCTTCTCCAGAGACGCGGCCCATTTCTCCGTCTTGTCGTCCCCCACATCCCCTCCTCGACGCTCGACTTCCTTGAGATTCTTCTTCTTTTTCACCACCTTCTTCACATCATCATCCCCAACTCGCACTCTCTTGGTAGACGACGACAACGACGACGACAGCGGCGGTGGTGGTGGCGGTGCTAACACCACGTCCATCTCCTTCTCTTCCTCAAATTCTGTAGCCACACTCGGCGTCACAGCCGAACTGTCCTGCCAATAATTGACCAAAAGGCCCAAGAAATCCACTTTCGTGCAGCTTTTACGTGGATGGAGATCCAGCACGACACACGCTGAGCGCAGCGTGCGGGAGCGACAGGCATTGAGCTGGTCCTGGAGCTCTTGAACGTGGCCGTGGGGCGGAAAGAGCTGCACAAATTGGGCCACGTCAGCCGGGAGCTCCATCCCCGCAGGTTTCTTCGAAGATTTCGAGCCTTTTTTCGGGGACTTTCTGGGAGTCGATTGTGGCGTTACGTCCGACACGGACATGGAATTAGGGGTCGTCAGCGCCAGCCAATAAGCAACGAGCGCGGAAATGTACCCGCCCTTTTTATTTTGTCGCTTTGAGATGCACAAATTGAGACGAGAACACGCCGCGCGCAAGTCGTGATGCGTAAACGCGCTGAGCTGGTCCTTGAGCTCCACGGCGCCAGCGTCGGCGGGAAACGTCTCCAGGTAATCGAGGAGACGGTGCACGGCGTCCAGCTCGTCGTCGCTGGGCGGGGTCGTATCGGATAAAGTCTTGATTGGACGTGGGGGGGAGTATGCGGACATGCTTTTTAGGGGGACACGGAGGGACTAAATTGGAGTGGCCAATGGCTAATTTTTGTGACTGGTGATAAAAAGCGGAGGTCTGTGTGTAAATGGAGGAATACGGTCACGTAGGGTACACGGGGTGGGTACAACCGCTTTCGTTTACGGGAGTCAGACTGTGCTCATTTCTATTGCGTTGTCATTTCTATTTTATGGAGACGGTAGCGGCAGGGACAGACAAGAAGTGCCAGTCGCCACTCGCATACAAAAGCGCTCTTTTTGGTGTCACTATTATGTAGTTGTAAATTAGTGCGGATCGAACACGAGGAACTCAATTTTACCAGTCCCTACTTTTGTAATTCGTTTCAGTACTTTTGCCCACACAACATCTTGAGCGGTGAAACTTGCATTCATGGATACACAAATCGTGTATGTGCAAGGTGTTGCCTTATATACCCATGCTGATGATCAAGAGACATCAAGTGCCACGCGACTTCTCCATTATGGTACCAAATGTCCACTGGTGCTGGACGCATAGTTGACTCGAAAGAAGACACTGCGCCTTGTACTTCCAGCGACCATGACTATTAGGGATCGGTCGCTGATCATGTTTGTACACATCATCGTTGCTTTGTCCAGTTTACGCTTGTAAGGCGCCATAAGTGTTGGCACTCGTGAGTAGCTGCATTTCAAATGGCACCTGCTCATGCTCAGCTGTAGTATGCGCGTGCAAAAGTGACACATTACCGCTGTTTGCAAGCTGTAGTGTAGCCAGAAAGACGCGGCACACCTCAAATTGGCTCTTGCCATCCACCAAAGTCTCAAACGGCACCGTGTCCCGCTCTTCTTCCTCTTCCTCGGACACCACATTAAGCCTAGCACGTTTCAACTTCTCACGCATTGATGATCCACTCAGCTTATCGAGACTGAAGCTCTTGTGTTCCTCTTCTAGACGCCCAATAATTTCTCGACCATAGTGATGGATATCAAAAGGCGGGTGTGCGTCCTGCTGCTTCAGCAATGGTGTTAATTTCTCCTGCCACTCGCTAACTTGCTTGCTCAGGTCTGTCTCTCGGACGTATTTCTCAGTACCAGACATGAACGACGCCAAGTGCTGTCTACAGATCTCATCGTACGTGAGCGGCCCATCGAAAGAACTCGCAGCCGCCTCAGCCTCATACGATCTCATCATCTCGTCCATAACATGTACTTGATCTACGTCGCCTCCATCAAACCCATCATTATAGTCATTGTCGTCACCGTCCTCGTCATCTCTGTTGCCACTCGCATCGTTCCGGAAAGCCATGCCCAAGCGCGCCGTTCCAGTAGACAGCACAAAGGCTCGCATCTGATCGTGTTCATCGACCGCTTCCTCCTCCTCCGTAGCCTGCTCACGCAGTAGCATGGCTTCGGCGCTCTGTTTCTCGCGAGCGTCGGAACGACGCATGATACTACGCCATTTCGCCTCACGCTGCCAAAGCACATCGCAGCTTTTTGCAAGAAGCGGGGTCCGGCAGAACATCTTTCGACAAGCTTTCTCTAGCGGATTTTCACTTGCTGTCTCTGTCCAGACCCACGATGCCCATTGCAGTCCGTTCGATCCCATAAAGAAGCGGTCTAGGAATGCTGGGTCGGACAGACCATCCTGCACTGCATCATCATCCACGCCCACGACACCTTCCTTGTTGTTTAAAGCCACGAGGTCTGCTTTCCTTTTCTTGTACACCGGTACACGTGGATATGATCGTCCCTTCTTGAATGGGAGCGCCACTGATGTGCTAGCATCATACGCATCCAGTGGCGCCCACAAGTCCTTCTCACTCACTGGCATCGCGGTCACTGCAGCGCGAGACGAGTTCTCGTGAACTGCATTCCTCTGCTGCTGTGCGTCATCTCGAGCATTCTCCATGCATGCGTCCTGCATCGATTCACCAGCGTCAAACTCGTAGTCCGGCTGCTTGTCGAATGGATTCATCATCCCTGCATCATCGTCGTTGTCGTTATTATCGTTCGCATCCATATCGTCGAAATTCAGCGCAGTCGCCGGTTCATCTCCATCTGCAGCCACCCACATACCGCCGTACCGTCCCGGCGTCTCTCCAAACGCTGACTCAACAACTCGCTGCTGCGCGCCAAGATACTTTTTGCTCGCTTCGTCCAGTAGCAGCACGCCACTTGCATGCAAGTTACACGACAGCAGCTTGTACGTTTCGCCATGGTCGCGTTCATCCGGCACTAGTGACCCCATCAATGCAATCGACGCTTCCATATTGTTCTTGCTCCGATGCAGCGCCTTGGCCTCTTTCCTCTTCCTCCCTCCTCCACGACCGTCACACTCTCCATCTCCAGCTACTGCGCTCTTGAGCGTAATATGCGACGGCTTTGCTTCCTCAAGCTCGTCATAAAGCAGCAAAGCCGTGTCCAACACACTAGCAGCAGCTCCATTTTCGTCCTCCTGGGTCTCTCCAGTACCTCTTTTCCCACGCTCCTGACTCTGCTGGTTATCGTCCTGTTGCTGGGACAAGTGAGCCAGAGTCTGGTACACTAAAGCATGGAGATACTCGACTTTCCGACTGTAGATGAGACTCGTGCCCTGGATCAGCAGCGCAGCTTCAGCAAAGTTCATGACTCCAGTGGCCCCTCCTTCTCCATCTCTCGAGATTTGGGCACTGCCACTTTCCGGGTCAAACGCGATGCTCAGCGTCTCTAATTTGTCCATATAATCTTCTAATTCAGTAGCCAAATCAATATTCCAGTTTTTACTCAAGTCGCTGTGCAGAGAAGAGACCATCCGGACGATCACAGCAGCAGCAACAAGGCAATACAGAGGCAGGGGTAGGGTAAGAAGAGAGAGAGAGAGAGAGGGAGAGAAAGGGAGGCAAAGAGAGCGATGAGACGTACCGAAGCGGCTGCAGCAAGTGCTGCAGACGTCCTCCGCTCATGATTGTCGGAAGTGGTGCGTGAGCGGTGCAATGTTGCGCGAATGGAGCGTGTGGTGGGGATGTATGTTGCTAGAAGGATAGCGAATGGACAAATTGACAATGGCGGGGGCAGAGAAGGAGTTGATTGGGTGGCGGGTGTAAATATTCGCTTGGCCAATCGCTCATTTCCTGCTAACGCTGCGCGACTGCAATGGGTTCGTCGATTTGCTCAGGGTTAAGTTAAATTTGTGGTGGGTGTTGTCATTTTTGTTGACAAAAGGGTATACACTGCATAAATCAGTCGACGGTGTGTATACGGAGATCCCTGCTGAATCTGATTGTTGAAGTGGTTTTACTCAGCCGATTGAAAGATGAATACGTTTGATTCAGAGAACTAACTACCAATAGACCGCACACTCATGCTGTCGAGCTGCATGCACAACGGACACACAACATAACCGTAAAACGAATCATCATGTGCTCGGCTGTCGAGAAAAGCTTCAACTGTTGCCTTCACGACCCAAATCGATTGCTGCGAGCGCAACAGAAGCTCAGAAAACCAGCAACTTGCAGTCCAAGCGCCTCTCTCTTCCTCTGCTACATCCAGTCTCCACTCGATCTACCACTTGGCACGCAGTTCATTTGGGAACGCAGTCACAAAGTCCAACCACTTCTCGACGTTTGGGTACTTTGTCAAGATATCCTTACCTACAACCTTCACGCGCTCAAACACAGCCGTATCGTCCTTTGAGGGTGACGAGCCGTTCACAAAAGTGGACCCCGCGAGACGCTTTTCCAGCACGTCCAGGGCCACCGAGCCGGTCGCAGAGATCAGCGCAGCCGAGCCGCTAGCCGCTGCAGGGGCCGGGGCTACTTGTTCGTCCGGCTTCATGGCAGGAAAGAGCAATACCTCCTTGATGTTGAAGCGGTTGGACAAAAACATGGTCAGACGGTCAATACCACAGCCCCATCCAGCAGTAGGCGGCAGGCCGTACTCCATGGCCGTGCAAAAAGACTCGTCATGTGGCTGGGCCTCATCGTCACCAGCAGCAGCCTGCTCCATCTGCTCAATAAAACGCTCACGCTGAACCTTAGGGTTATTCAGCTCCGTGTAAGCGTTGCAAATCTCTGCTCCTGCCAGGAAGAGTTCAAAACGTTCCGTTAGTGCTGGCTTCGAGCGGTGATACTTGGCTAGCGGCGAGTTGTACACTGGCTGATCCATGATAAAAAACGGCTTGGTCCAGTTTGCCTTGTTGTCCTCAATAAAGTGGCCCACTAGCTTGTCTAGCAGACGAGCGATTGAGCGGGGACGAGCGCACTCCAGCTCGTACTTGGTAACTTGTTCCTCCAAAACTGCCATACACTTTTCGGGATCATCAATCGGAATCGTGATACCAGTAGCTTCTTCCACAGCAGATACCATGCTCACGCGCTTAAACGGCGGCGTAAAGTCGATCGTGACAGGTTCTTCACCCGGTTCCTTCTGAATCGTAATGCTGTAGCTTCCTGTAATCTCCTTAACCATTTCAGAAAACAATTTCTCCGTCATTGTCATCAGATCATTGTAGTCCGCATAAGCCATATAAAACTCACAACTAGTAAATTCTGGATTATGGGTCAAGTCAATGCCTTCATTACGGAATTGACGTCCAATCTCGTATACTCTATCAAGTCCACCAATCACTAATTGCTTCAAATACAACTCTGGTGCGACACGCATGAACAAGTTCATATGCAGCTCATTATGGTACGTTACAAACGGCTTGGCCGTTGCGCCGCCCACAATCATGTTCATCATAGGCGTCTCCACTTCCAGAAACTCCCGCTGGTCCAAGAACCGACGGATAAAGTTAATGATCTTGGCTCGGGTGTAAAACACGTCGCGCGTGTCATCATTGAGAATGAGGTCCAAGTAGCGTTGACGGTACCGCGTGTCCTGCTGGAGGGTTAGGCCTGCATGACTTTTGGGCAGCATGTGCATGCAAGGAGAGAGGAGCGTCACTTGCTGGGGGAAGATCGAGAGTTCCCCTTTTTTCGACTTGCCGGGGTGCCCTTCGACCCCCACGATATCTCCACGACGTAAGATGCTGTGGATCTTCAGGAACGCACTTTCACTCGAGTACGAGCCAATGTCCGACATGATCTGGAGCTTCTTGCCATCAGCTCGGAGGTCGTAAAACACCAATTTGGCTCCAGAGGCGCGTTTACTATGGAGTCGACCAGCAATCGAAACGACGACATCGGATTGGTGGGTGCCGGGTTCGATATTGTCATATTTCGCGTGAAATTCCGCTAACGTGAGCGTTGTGGTGAATTTGTGAGGGTAAGGGTTCACGCCCTCGGCTTCCAGGTCGAGCAACATCTTCTCGCGATTGGCGAAATAAGCAGTCGGGTCCAGTTCGTCCTCGTCTGCCAGGGTTAGGGCTTTTGATGTGGTTGGTGCGGGGCCAGCTGCTTTTTTCGCCGCTTTTTCAGCTTTGAGCTTGGCGGCTTTTTCGGCTTTTAAACGGCGTTTGAGCTCGTTTTTACTCACGGGAGCAGCAGCAGCTGCAGCAGCAGCTGGTGAGTCGGAGGCGGGAAGAGCGGGGGAGCTGCTCATTGTGGAGGGCGAGAATGGGCACGATTGAGAGCGAGAGAGAGGGAGTGGTGGGGTACGACGAGGTTTGGATAATGACTGGCTTGAAGGACGATTGGGAGGGAGGGGTGTGTGGATACGGAGGAGGGACTGGAGGATGGTAGAGGAGATTTGATTGGTTTTTGACGATATTTAGCGGAGAAGCGAGTATTTTGTCGAGTATGGCGACTTATGTGGTGGATAATAGCTACTACTTGTGGTAAGTCGTAGAAAAAGTAGAAGTAGTAGTAGTGCGTCAAAGTGGTAGTAGCTATATTTCTAGGTTTGAATAGTAGTAGTAGCAGTAGTAGTAGTAGCTGTTATATTCGTCATCGTCCAGTAGTGTGAGCAAAAGTAGTTGTACTAGTACTAGAACAAGTAGTAGTAGGAGTAGTAGTAGTAGTAGTAGTAGTAGTAGCTCCGTAGTAATATTCGAAGTAGTGAAAAAGCGGCTTTTACAAATTCACGACACTTGTACATTACGAAGTGAAAGTGTCTGCGATGAAAGTGGCAGGCGCAGGATTGGGTCCATGCATTTTTATAGTAACAGTGAATTACGTGCGTTCATGTAACGGAGGCACCCCATTACACCTATCTTGTAGTTAAACTACATGCTGTAAAATATTTCGTGTACAAGCGTAAGAGGAAGTTGGACTGGTCTCTGATTTATGCACGAGGAGTTGAGTTGCGTCTTTGCTTAAGTCACGAGGACGTCCGAAAAGCCCGACAATCGGCCCTCTTGCCCTAGGCGGGAAGTCCCCTATGGTGTGGCACAGATCAAAAAGGGGAGGACTTTTGCCGCTGTGTGCGCCACGAAAGGCAGCGCAGCGTGCAAGCCAAAGAGAGCAACAACCAGGGCATCCCGAGGTGTAGGGCATGTCAAACCGACCGCCTTGCACCACGTGCAAGTTCCTGCTCTTCTACATCCGTCATCAAGTCGCTGACCCGTTCGCCGAGCGCAAACTCCGGTCCCACGAAGCGAACTTGCTAAGAACGTGATGCTGTCTGGTGGACCCCTCTCCGACGGTACATGCTAGGGACAAGTCAAGATGGCTCTTCGTGACTGTCCGAAGTGGTTTGAGACCCCCCCCTGCAGGCGCTCTGCACCCTACATGCACCCCCAGCTTGATTCCCGGTCACACGTACCTTTTCAGAGTGCCCCCCATGTCGCCCGATGTATCGAGCCAGCAGAATGAGCCAGAGAGGAGACAAACAAAGTAGTCATGGTAGATGACCAATAGCAACCAGACATTAAAGACTAGTCACAATTACTACGAATAGACCGTCTGAATTTCTCTAAAGCTAGGCTGGTCTCTGATTTGAGTACGAAAAATTGAGTTGTACTTTTTACTAAAGTCGCTCGTAGAATTAGCGCGAAGTTCCTGGGCACCTGGTCGGAAGACAGTAGACTGTACCATAAAACCAGCTCACCTGATCTGCTTGAAAGCTCTCCGCAGGGATTCCAGTAAGGTTTACACACGACCGATCGTTGTAGGCGCAGAATGATGCGACATGCGTATAACGCGACGGTGATCGACAGCACGGCACGTCTGGACGAATGCGTTCGCCACTGGTTATGATCACGCCTCCCACAATCGATCGCTTCCATCAAGCTCCCTGACTTCGAGTTCAGTAAACCGCCATTTCACCAACTCAAGAGTATCGTCACCTCGTTCATTTTCCAATTCTGCACAAGTAACACAGCTAATCATGGTCGCTATTGATCATAAAGGCGTTGACAGTGCTTGTATCGGGTACGATGATGCCAAGACACTACTCGCTCAAGGATCAGTGGCGCTCCATGAGCACGTAGCTTCTCGATTAACGTCGTCCCTTGGCAAAGCGCTTCCTCAGGTCGAGGTGCGTTTCAAGAACGTGTCCATCTCCGCCGATATCGCGGTCAAGGACGCTACTGACGAGGAGATGGAGCTACCGACGCTTTCGAACACAGTGACGAAGACTCTGTACAAGTTGGTGACCAAGAAACCGGCAGTGACAAAGCGCATTTTGAATGGTGTTACCGGAGTCTTCAAACCGGGAACCATCACCCTCGTGCTCGGCCAGCCGGAGTCAGGCAAGTCGTCTCTCATGAAGTTGCTGAGCGGTCGATTTTCAAGTGATAAGAACGTCACCATGGAGGGGAAAATCGCGTACAACGGAACACGTGCAGAAGAGCTGCAGCGGCTTTTGCCTCAGCTCGTGTCATATGTCCCGCAACGTGACAAACACTACGCGAAATTGACAGTGAAGGAGACACTCGAGTTTGCACATGCTGCATGTGGTGGCGAGTTGTCTGAACGTGACGCGAGTCAGTTGGTACATGGTACTCCTGCTGAGAATACAGAGGCTTTAAACGCTGCGCGGGCACTGGCCAAGCACCACCCGGACGTCATCATCCATGAACTTGGTCTAGAAGGTTGCCAGCATACGATCGTCGGTGATGTGATGACTCGTGGTGTGTCTGGAGGAGAACGCAAGCGCGTGGCGACTGGCGAGATGGCGTTTGGAAACAAGTACGTGATGATGATGGACGAGATCAGCACGGGGCTAGACAGTGCCACGACGTTCGACATCATAACGATGCATCGCAGTCTCGCAAAGACGTTCTGCAAGACGGTGGTGATCTCGCTTTTGCAGCCATCGCCCGAGGTGTTTGCACTTTTCGACAATGTCATGATTCTGAATGCTGGTCACCTCGTGTATCATGGACCATGTGCGAAGGTTCAAGACTACTTTAAGAGCCTCGGGTTCGAGTGTCCTCCGACTCGTGATATCGCAGATTTCTTGCTGGACCTTGGCACGAGTGAACAGTACCAGTACGAAGTTAAGCTCGAAAAGGAACGCACGTTGATCCGTACTCCAACCGAGTTTGCTCTAGCGTTTGAGCAGTCTTCGATTTATGCGCAGACTCTTCAGGAAATGGAAGAGCCTGTCCATCCGAGTCTTGTCGAAGACATGAAGACCACCATCGTTGTCAAACCGGAGTTTTCTCAGAAGTTTTGGGCAAGCACAGTGCTGCTCATTTATCGACAGTTCGTTGCCACGAAACGCGATACTTCGTCCCTCTTTGCACGCTTCTTCATGACGGTCGCAATTGCCATGATGTGCTCAATCGTGTACTACCAGTTCGAACTAGCCGATGCGCAAGTGGCAATGGGTATCATGTTTGAGTCTGTGCTCAACTTGTCGGTCGGCCAGGCTACACAAGTGCCAACATTTATGGCTGCGAGAGAGGTGTTTTACAAGCAGAGAGGGGCCAACTTCTACCGGACGGCATCGTACGTCGTCTCCAGTGCTGTGAACCAGGGACCTCTCGTTGTCCTCGAGACGTTCCTCTTCGGAACAGTCATCTACTGGATGTGTGGCTTCGTGAGCAGCTTTTACAATTTCTTGGTGTTCCTTGTGGTGCTGTCCTTGACGAATCTAGCATTCGATGCTTTCTTCTTTTTCTTAGCGTCTGCTTCACCGAATCTCAATGTAGCAAGCCCCTTGTCCAGTGTGGCGACCGTTTACGCCTGTGTGTTTGCGGGCTACACGATCACGAAAGACCAGATTCCGGACTACCTGATCTGGCTTTACTGGGCCAATCCCATTTCGTGGGGAATTCGTGCGCTGGCGGTCAGTCAATACAAGAGTGCTCGATTTGACACATGCGTATACGATGGCATTGACTATTGTGCAACCTACGGTTTGACGATGGGGAGGTTCTCATTGAGCACCTATGAAGTTCCGTCGGATGCGTTCTGGTTGTGGGGCGGAATGGCTTTTATGACCGCTACCTATGCCTTCTTCTTGATCCTGTCGTGTTTCGCACTTGAGTACCATCGCTTTGAACGGTCTGAGATTGCGGTGCTGGACACGAAGACCAAACCAAAGGTTACGGACGACTACGTAGCTACAGAGACTCCACGCGGGTCAAGGAATCGGGACAAAATGATGGTTTCGGTGAACCAAGCAAGCGACAATTATTTCATCCCGGTTACAGTGGCTTTCAAAGACCTCTGGTACACCGTTCCGGATCCTACGGATTCCAAGAAAACGATTGATTTGCTTAAAGGCATCAGCGGATATGCGTTGCCTGGTACCATTACAGCACTCATGGGGTCTTCTGGTGCTGGCAAGACTACTCTGATGGACGTGATTGCTGGGCGTAAAACAGGGGGCAAGGTTCGTGGACAGATACTTTTGAATGGACATCCTGCCACGGACTTGACCATTCGTCGATCGACGGGATTCTGTGAGCAGATGGACATCCACTCGGAGTCCTCAACGTTCCGCGAGGCGCTGACCTTCAGTGCATTTCTGCGCCAAAGTGTCGATGTTCCTGACGATCACAAGTACGACTCGGTGACTGAGTGTCTCGATCTTTTGAATCTTAACCCCATTGCAGACAAAATTGTTCGCGGCAGTACTTTGGAACAGATGAAGCGACTAACGATCGGTGTGGAGTTGGCAGCGCAGCCAAGTGTGTTGTTTCTAGACGAACCTACGAGTGGATTAGATGCTCGCTCGGCAAAGCTGATCATGGACGGTGTGCGTAAAGTGGCCGATACTGGAAGGACAATTGTGTGTACGATCCACCAGCCCTCGGCAGAGATATTCAGTCTCTTCGACAGTCTGCTACTACTCAAGCGTGGTGGCGAGACCGTCTTTGCGGGTGAGTTGGGCGAGAATGCTCATGAAATGATTGCATACTTTGAGTCAATTGATGGAGTAGCAAAGTACAAGGAAGAGTCCAATCCGGCTTCATGGATACTTGAAGTGATTGGTGCTGGTGTCGGCAATATCAACGGGACCAAAGCTGACTTCGTGGGGATCTTCAAAGATAGTCCACACTACGAGCGTCTGCAGTCCATGCTCGATTCCGAAGGTGTGTGCCGTCCATCCGCGTCTCTACCTGCACTCCAGTTTGATACCAAACGCGCTGCGTCAAATCTGACGCAGATGAAGTTCTTGCTCCAACGCTTCAGCAACCTCTATTGGCGGACGCCTTCGTTCAATTTGACACGCTTTGTCATATCACTGGGACTGGGTCTGGGCTTTGGCATCACATACGCTGGGAGTGAGTACACGTCGTACTCTGGTGTAAACTCTGGACTCGGCATGGTGTACATAATAGTCATATTCATTGGATACATCTCATTCAACGGCTTGATCCCAATTGCAGCAGAAGAGCGTGCTGCCTATTACCGCGAAAGAGCGTCGCAAACGTACAATGCGTTTTGGTACTTTCTTGGCCTCGCAGTCGTTGAGATCCCGTATGCAGTTGTCGCAGTGCTACTGTTCTTGATCCCCTTTTTTCCCATGGTAGGCTTCTCTGGACTCGGCACTTTTTGTATCTCTTGGCTCGTCTTGGTGCTGCAAGTGCTGCATCAAGCTTATATGGCGATCTTACTCGTTTTCTTGCTGCCGAACTTGGAAATGGCGGAGATCTTTGGCGTGATCTGGAACATGGTGGGCTACTTGTTGTCCGGCTTTAGCCCCCCAGCCTCAAGTTTGCCGTCAGGGATTGTATGGGTATACCGTATTACACCGATGACTTACAGCGTTGCCGCCTTCTCGGGCGTCGTGTTTGGTGCCTGCAGCAGCGATGGCGACTTGGGGTGCGTGCAAATGACGAATGTTCCCCCGTCACTGGCTGCGGACATCACTGTGAAAGCGTACGTGGAAATCAACTTCTGGATGGAAAACAGTGAAGTCGGCCGGAATTGCGGCGTGCTGGCAGTTTTCGTGCTTCTCTCCGGACTTTTCTCGCTGCTAGCGATACGCTTCTGCGATTACCAGAAGAAGTAAGACCATCGGTGAAGCAGGTTTGTGAAAACCTAGACGCGATGGCTGCTCCCCTACGTTCCAGGCCTTCAAAGCTCTATCATTTCTTCGATTGTCAAGAGACTGCGTATGCAATTCAGACGCTTGATGTGTCTGGAACGTATATTACATCTCAGTCTCGTAGTAGGTCTAAAAATGGTTAGGTCGATTGTTTAATCTATGACGGACACTTACCCAGTACAACGCATGCTCTACTCACTGTCTATCGATCCGCGATGAAAACCGCTGTGATTCACCAGTCACTGCAGCTAGCAGCTCGGAATCGTCACGTGCGGAGTCATGTCGGTGCCAAAGAGCCCAAAGTGCTTCTCGTACTGCGCTCCCGTGTAGCTCACCGTCGTGTCGTACATCATGAACCAGTACGACTGGCCCTTGTCGCGAGACCACGCTACGTAGTCGTTCAGGTACTGTTGCATGCCCTCACGCGACGGTTGGTTGCCGGCGTAGCACTCGCCCGCGTACGGCCAGCCTGTCTCGGTCAGGTGCACTTTGGCTGGACCGAACTTGGACGTCATCTGGTCCCATTGGGCCTGCAGCTTTAGTATTGAAGCCTGCGGACCGGGCGTGAAGAACGGGTAGATGGTGACCCCAATGTAGTCCACTGCGTTCGCGAGTTTCCACGCACCTTCGGCGCTCAGCCACTCGTTGATGCGCTGCACTGATCCAATGGGCGTATCCCAGTGCACGCATCCCCTGACCCGGTTGATAAACCCCACGAGCTCATCAGCCGAGTACTGGCCAAAGCCGTTGTTGCGGAGGTTCTCGTTGCCAACGTAAACGGCCTCAACGGCCCAGGGGTTCCGAGCAAAGCCGTCGCACACTGCCTGAATCTCGCAATCAATCTGACTGGGATTGTTCAGCTGCACACCAACCGCGATACGGAGGCCGGCCGCAGCCGCCATATCGATAGCATTCACACCACTCAGTCGCGCCTCGTACGTGCGGATGCTCGAGAAATACTGAGCAACCTGTCTCATGTCCTTCTGCAGCACATCCCAGTTGACGAGAGGATTGTGCCATGGCGCGTAGCAGACGCCCGTTCCGAGTGGTGCGGCCTCTACGGAAGTGACAGCCACGGCAGTGGCGAGGACGAAAGTGGTTGCGAGTTCCTTTTTCATCGCTACTGCTTTCGTAGCTACTGTAAAGCTTCGGGGTTGTTCGTTTGTAGAGAGGGTCTTATGCTTACCAAGGCAGATTGAGGAATGGAAGCGGTGACGTCAAGACCGACGCGGGTTCTACGGATTGACGTGACGTGCGGCGCAGAAGTCCGACTTGGATGTCACGTGTTTGGTGTCCAGTCGTGTCGCTGAGGATCCAGGCGCACTCTTGAGATTTGCTCACGACTTTCGTGTGGGAATTACTACCGCCGATGGGATGTACTACGGGACCAAATGCTGAAGCTCGATCGTTCGGTTGAAACTTTCGTTGCGGAGACTCTCTTTCGGTGTATTTGACTCGTAAAGACCGTGTCCACATATGCTCGCTCACCAGATGCATTCTTATTCCATGTGGGCGTTATCTCAATACATCAAATCATGCGAGTATCGTTTATCAATGTGACTTTAATCATGGTGAACGTAATCAGGGTGAGCGACCTTGTACATATTGACTATGCCGATCGCTGCTTCGTAGCTGCTTCGTGGAACAGCCAGCCGAAGCACGCGATTTTCGAGTCAAGAGAGTAGGCTCTACGCTCGGCTACGTGCATCAAAATCAATCGATTGTAGAATTGCGGTCGCTTGATTAATTGCTCGCCTCTCTCTTGCGCTCCTTCCGAGACGAAGACTGCATTCCAAGGAGGGCTGACGCAAGGCCATGTTGTGACCAGGACATCCGTCCCACTGCTGCCTATCCCGCGCATCCCTCATAGCTGATCCCCCATCCCACACACGTGAAATGGGATGAGGGATAAGCCGTGACCATCCCGCGCGTCCCGCATGCAATTATCTCTTACAATTCTAATGTGGAAGTCCTATAAATTTTCTATTCACATAATTCGTACTTGGATTTAAAAAGCACTAAATGAATGAGCCATCTTTCATATATGTTTGCATACTCAGGTTCAGTGTTCATTGCTAAGATGCTACTCGAGCTTTCTGCAAAGGCATGTTACACGGCACTGTAGATGCCTGTGAGGATTATTTAGCATCCCGCCACGACTACTCGACGCACATCCTAAACTTAGTCGCAACTCGCGACCTTAATTCTTGTTATGGTGAGTACCTTTTGGCAGTAAGTTTATGTGTAAGTTTGCGCACTCAACTGATTGCAGTTCTGGCTGGACCTATTGTCGATTGCTATATATCTTCGTCAATACATTACTTTTCCACCACGGATCACGATCGCTTTCGAGCAATTGCATAGCTTGAAGGTACCGCCAATACAATGATGAGTCGCTACCCGCTGATCTCCAGCTACACTCCTGTTGATGCGTACGTTAAATCATTGTAAGATTTCTGCCACTCGCCTAAGAAGAGCCCAGCTTGGAAGGATTGCCCTCCGCAGCACCGATCATAATCTAGTGGAGCACGCCATATGCCCTCTATCCCGTTCAGGTCGGTAACACTTACACACACTACGGTTTGTATTGACTTTCTCGCTATGATTCTCATTCTTCAGGTTCCAGCGCGTATGGAGGCGCTCGAGTGTGTGCAGATCCATACTAATCACATTTCTGTAAGGTATAGCTCGGTGGTCTCGTTCCGCAGTGTCCCGTGGGAAATTCTCATCCCACGCGGGATGGGCGCGAGATAAGCCAATTTCGACTCATTTCGCGCAGGACGGAGCCCTTGTCGCAACGACTCAATAGACTCGCGTCGGGAATGTAATGATTGTGGTCAAATCGACAAAGAATCTGCTCATACGTAGTCGTACTTTCCATTCGCATGGGTTGTCTGCCCTGCGGCGAGTAAAGGTCTCCGACTCTGATGAGGTCGCGACTAGTGTCGACCGTTCTGAATCGAGTATGAATGCGCTGCCACTGTTGCCTATCACAGTGTCTGATTACACATGATAACGAAAATGAACCGATACGTCGTGAAAACGAAGATTGCGGTCGTGATTAAAGACTAACGCGATATCTGTTGTGTTTTGGAGCGTAGCCACAGACATCCAGCGCTACAATAACCTTTTTGACGTAAGGACATGCATGCACAATGTATTACCAAGCGTAGGCGAATGTTTGAACCGAATTTCGAAACATGCGACCAGGTAATCAATCGCCTGTAATCGTGTGCGAAAACAAAGCGCCACAGATAATATTACTCAGTACGCGAGACTTTCAGATTGCCTACTTAGGCTACTTATTACTGCACAAAATATTTGAATAGTGGAAGCCACATCGGTCATCTACCATGTGGTGATTGCTTCCCTTAACCCTTTCTCATTATGCTGGCATGATACCCCGGATGTCATAGGGGGCACTCCGAGAGAACACATGGTTTCGACCGTCGACCGGGTGCGAGTAGGTTTTACGCGCACACGTGACCGGATGGCTGGGCTGCTCGTGCTTGCGGAGCAATCTTTTGTCATGGGAAAGTGGATGTAACAAGGTAAAACATGTCCGTTTGTACAACCGGCAACGATGCCGATTACAAAAGGATTGTTATACCCCTTTACGGGCAATCTATAAAAATTGCAATACGTTAACGCATATCATCGTAAAAAATTATAATAGTTTCCTTGCATCCCTCTTCTGTAGACATCCGACTTAACAATTTCGATAGAGAAAATGGTTAAAAGCACCCCTTAATTAATTAAATGCACGCGATGTTCAATGCAAGCCTTTTTTGGTCGGCGTAACCGACCGTAAACTCATATTTGTAGCTAGGGGATTTTGAAAATTACGGACGCCTTAATCAATGAACGCCTATAACTAGTTCGTGTGAATAACCGCAGCTCAGATTTACATTTAGTAGAGTAACACATTGTAAAGGTAGCGGAGCGCTAGGTTGCCTTAATTTTAACAAGTGCATGCTCATCTCATAAGAACAGACTAATAACACCTACAAGTATATTCGCACCTCCACGCAAATCTCCTCCAACCTCTTGTTCACCGTCAGCACTTCCAGCACATTTTTACTCTTCAGTTTGGAGCGCGGAGATGAGCACCATAGGAACTGCGTACTTGTGCAAGTGGTCCCTCAAACTCGTTCTGGATGCATTGCATCTCAAAATTGCCGCCTGTGACTGAAGGGCCGCTCTTGCTGGAAACTGCCACCAACGCACTCATTTTTCTTTTAATCGCACGCTATGCAATTTTCAGGTCTAGATGAATCATTTTAGTCTCGCTCATATCTTACACGGAATACATCAAACGCTGAAAACTTTTCCGTCTGTTTCATCGTGATCACGCTTTACTTTATTGCCAAGTACCTGCCACATTCACGTGCTCGTTGGGGGACCCGTGAAATATTCACAGTACTGCTCCCGAATCGCGTGTTCCTCCAGGCCTGAAAATGGATGAGATCGCACGTTATCAAGTAGTGCACCAAAGCTAAGTCAACACATACCACGTACACAGGAACATAAGAACGCGGACGGTGCGCACAATCTTGTTTAAAAAGTTGACTCGCGAAAGATCAAAATTCGCCAGATTAATCGTTCGCGGCTGAGCACGAGTACAAAAATACTTTACCAGCGAGTTGCTAGTAGCCTTGCATTCACCTATCAGCTCTTGCAACGTACATCTTCCTGTTAATTTGACGACAAGACTATAGCCTGATACGCAACCGTGGACGACCGAAAACGTTTCCACATAAGGTCGTGAATTTGACGACAATTATTGATTGACTTTAAAGGGTGTCCGTTAAGTAAATTTGTGGGTGTGCACCTTACAATTCCCTCTTTAAATAGTAATGAAAATCTATTCACATCCACAATCATTGATCGCGTAAAAGGGTAGCCCGTTACATAATATTGACACCAAACGGTGTCAATGGAAAGATTGTCAAGCGTGACAATCTCTTGCCGAAACTACCCGAGATAGGTAACATTGAAGGAATATCATCGCTTAGGATATTATCCATGTGCCGCTCAAACATTATTGATAGAAGACATATCAATCAAGATCACCACCCTTCGCTGCTAGACGCGGGTAGTGGGTGGCGAGCAGGTTGTCGTCAAACAAAAATGTAGGTTGATAGAGTTAGATAAATACAGAAGTTGTATCGATAGCTAGAATATATATTGAATACAGTTCATTTTTTACCTTAACTCGAACGAGCTGTTTGAGTAAAGTAGCTTCCTCTGCACGTACAAGTGTGCGTGAAGTTTCGCGGCATCCCAAACAAAGGGTGCCCTGTTACACCTGGTAGCACATCGTAGTCCGTACAACGACTACTTAGTGCCCGTTCGACATGAACATGTTGGACGTTGAAGACGAAAGATTTCACGTCACACGTGAAGGCTACTCCCATCGAGTGACTCAGAATGGGAGGTAGTCGGCCGCGTGAGTGTGCTCATGGGCGAACCCTCCATCATTGGCATGTTGAAGTTTACAAACAGAGACAAAAAACATGCCGCTATCAACAATTTCGACAAGGAGAACTTGCCGTCGAAAGACAGAAGATAGCCATGCTACAGCAGCAAGGCTATCATCAGTCGATGGGTGGGCAGACGCATACGCGTCGACCCGAAAGTTGAAGATAGATATCTCAAGGTACAAGAGAACCGATGCAGGTTTTCTCATGAGATGATTCGTCGAGTTAGACGTCGCCATTAGGGCCCGTCACATCGAGGGTGACGAGATGCAAGTCACCTTTGCCCCGTCAAATTTGACGGGACGAGCAAAGACTTGGGCCTTCGGGATCAAGCTTCACGACCCAAACGTGTTTGAGTCGTTAGAGATCGTGAAGTCACGTTTCATCCGCAACAGCCGAGTTTAGAGAACGCTATGCACTCTTGAGGCTAAAGCAAGGTAAGCGTGATGTGCACGCTTACTCACAACACCTGCGCTACCTTGAGAGTCGCGTCACGGAAAACCCTGTTGATGAGCACGCGCTCACCAACGTGTTCATCTACGGCCTTGTAGATGTACCGGTCAAGACATGCATGTTCCAAGAAAACTTCCATAAGCTGGAAAAGCGATAGCGTATGCGAAACAAAAAGGCTTCAGCCT